GCAGGTTCATTTATTTACAAATACTCTGTTGAACTCTGCTCGCTGCATTCTTGGAATATACAGAAAATTACGCTAAAAAGTATATTAATTCGTCTAAAAGACAGTTAAACGATGTTATATTTAGACGGATTTAGTTTCAAATCAAAAGTTCATTAACTCCCGTTGAGGTACTTGGAATCTGAGATTATCGTCACATACTGTTTCCCGCCAAATTGGTGATTTAGTGTCACGTGTTATCGCAGCCTGATCGGTGATTAAAGCACCGTTGTGTCAGATTGTTATCGTTGATCAATTGGTGATAAACGAATTTTTACAACTCAATGTTTTTATGTCATATTTTCTCCAGACTTGGATATTATCGTTTCATCACATTTGTCATGTTATAAACTCCAATTAAAACACATTATAAAATAATTAAATACTAATTTTCACAGTTTGTCATACCAAATAGTCTAATTAGATGTTAGACAATGTTTTGATAAATTAAAACAAGTTTTTTTCATACCTATATTACATGATAAAAATTAGACCCGTGTTTTCGCATTGCATAAAATAGCGCTCGATACATCAATTGTAAAGTGATATAGAAATACCACTGCTAAAATAGCGCTCAATACATCAATTGTAGAGTGATATAGAAATACCACTGTTAAAATAGTGCTAAATACATCAATTGTAGAGCGATATAGAAATACCACTGTTAAAATAGCGCTCAATACATCAATTGTAGAGCGATATATAAATACCACTGTTAAAATAGCGCTCAATACATCAATTGTAGAGCGATATAGAAATACCACTGTTAAAATAGCGCTCAATACATCAATTGTAAAGTGATATAGAAATACTACTGTTAAAATAGCGCTTAATACATCAGCTACAGAGAGATAAAGAAATATTAAAACATAGCCTAAAAACAGAACCTGACAACATATTATATTTTTAAATACGTTTTATAAGAATCAGAATTTATAAGAAGAGTTTATAATCTTTAAATTTCAGACTGAATCATAATATTCCAACAACATTTTAAATTTATAGGCTAATTGCCATCCTTTGATTTCAAGGAGACGATCGGTAATAATAAAAACTATTTTTTACAGCTATACTTTCAAGAGTTATTGCCCTTTGATCAAAGATTTCCAAAAGAATATCTTAGGGTGATATTGGCGTCTCTTTGCCCAATGTCTTCTACGACTTTGCCTGTGTGTTCCTATGTACCCTTTCCTAGGACTAGTATCTTAGCGTTTTTGTGTTGTAAAAATTCCTATTTCGATAAAAACTTGTGGTCTCTGATGGTTAGCCTAAATGAATATTGTATAACTACTGGCAACCTTTGAACTATGTCTTTGTAATATTAAGCCAGGGTTCAATTCAGATTTAAAAAATTGATTAGCAATTAGTCGCGCTTAATTCTGGTTTTGGCAAATCAAGTTAGAATTTGATTCCCATTCCTTTAAACCTCGGTAGAAATTCAAAATGTTTCAGCTGTAGACTTTGTGAAAAGATGCTGAAAATGACGTTTGTTCTTTCGGTTGTAGAGTCCGCCGAGATTTACGGTATATTTCAAGAACTGACTGAAAATGTACAAATTGATTTGATTCGCAGATCGCTGAGATAAATTTTGATTTTGGCTAATCATAATTAACGTTGGATTCCACAAGGGGTCATTTTGACTCGCAAACTGCAATACCGCTTCGATTGAATATTACATTAAGCATGAGAGCAGCTTACATTCTATGCAACACAATCGTCAATTTTGGCAACGTTATCCTCCATAATATTCTAACCATTATATATTGGCTAAAGTTTGAGTATAGTTTTCATAGGATTTTACAAGTCTTGACTTGCGACTTAGACGTGAAATGAAAATGAAATGTCATCTATCAGTTGGTAAACCGGCGGCATATTGGGACAATATTTCCAATTCAAACAATATTATTGAATTTTCATCCAAAGAGAAAAAGCCAATCTACAATATTATTATGTTATTTTTTTCATTTTTTTATTTCACGATCTGATAAAAATGTTTAATCAAGGTAACTAATTGTTCTATTTCATGTTTAATCGCTAGTGTGTTAGGGTCATGTCACAGAGCAATAGATAAGCTTATTAATGTTTTACTGTAGCACTGGTAGTGCAACGTAATTCTGGCAATTCAATTTCAAGTAGATTTCCTCTTTTCTAACGTCTGTCAAATAAACTAAAATAATATATAGACTACTAAATTTGTTGATAATAGAGTTAAGAGGATATCCTACTGAATGTTTTCGATTACCAATAGAAAGGGATATGCTGAGAAACGATTATATTTTTCGGGCATTATTTAATCAAGGAAAAACTTATTTGGGTAAACAAATTTTAGATCTCCAAATAATAACGGGGTATTAAGTTTAATATTGTAAGAGATGTCGAAAAACATCTGGAACCACATTTTTAGATTAAGTCACTTTATCCGAATAGAATGGAGAAATTTATCCTCAAGCTATCAAAATGATTGCCAAATTTTCGATCACCAAATGAAAGGGATTTAATAGCGGTAGTTTGCCGACGCATTTTAGGAATTTCAAATCACATAAAAAACGCATTATTATTTAAATCTATCTCTTTAACATTAGATGTTAATGGATTTTAATTTTATTTCTATGCAATAAAACTTTTAAGATCCTGCATTATCAATTAGTACGACTTGTCATTCCCGACTACTTTGTTTATATTTTTAATTTTCACACGCGCTACTTGGCGCGGTTTTATGTCATGGAATGTTTCGCGCAATTGCATGAGAAATTCCCGTTGTAATATTCGCGCTCATGTCGATCTCTATTGACTAATCAGGCAGATATTACATGAAGTCATATGTCGCGATTCGACATGTTTTCATTACGATTATCTATGGGAAATAATTCTTAGCAGTCCAGACATGCTTTAACCTATTGAACTCTGACCTCATAGGGGTCGAATGATTTGATTGGTTATATTTTCTATTCATAATAAATCCAAACAGTTTGAATGAATCTGATTGGTTTAGAAAATAGAAGGCGTGACTTTGGTTCCCAAACACGCATCATCTCGCGCCAAATAATCAGCTGGAAAACCCATCATATGCCCCTGCGGCTAAAAATTTCTGGGGATTGAGTGAAAAGGGCAGTTTTTGGAGTGGACACTGCAGTTTATATTTTGCAGTGCTAGTGATATATCCTAAAACTGATTTTTTGAAGAATAATTATTTCGGAATGTTTTGATTTACTCATTTGCCCTACTAACTATTGATATATTTTAATTGGATTATATAATATAGGAATATTTATTTATTATTTATTACTTGGATAATTATTTAAACAAAAGGTAATTATTTATTTATTTATTTACACGAAATTCTTCAGTTGTAGGGCATTGGCTTCAAACATTTTCTCTCAAATTGACCATTGAATTTAGGTTATGCAATTAGGGTCTAGGAACCCAGGAATCCCGGCCGCCGCTCGAGGGTTGAAAATCTGTAAATTTTAATGACAGTTTTAATTTTGTAATATTTATTATCTATGCTCTTCAGAAAAAATCCACAATCATAATTTTCATAAGCTAGGAAAATTTTTTCTCCCGATTCTAACGCAGTCTTCGACTCGCAGAGACATGTTTTCAGAATGACTAGTCATAAAATGACTAAATCATTTGTGATTAGAACAATATTGGCAATAATTGCACAACAAAACCAAGGAACGGTATGACACTAATTGAAAAGTTTCCAAGGTGTTCAAAATTTCGGTGTTAAAATTGTCGAAAATGTGTGAAAAAACAACTGTAAACAAACGCCGGTTGAGATGGTAAATTGTTTATCCATGTTGCCTGGCGGCCGGGGTATTGTACGACGCAATCACGCGCCAATTTTGAACGTGCAGAATTCAGACGAGAATGAACACAGATTTTCATGTCTTTGGGTTTGTTTATAACAATTCGGTAAGTTTGAATGATAACACTTCACCAATTAGTTAAAACAGTTTTTAGTGATTAGGGTTTCACAGTTTTTAGGGGTTGAACGATTCTTGAATTGTGTTTTCTGAGAAATATTTGTGAATCGAAGCACATGGAAACTTGAAATGGCAGTTGTTTTGGTTTTGAATTTTTTTGGCAAAATGGGAATAGAACGTACCAATGACGATGAATTTCGCCGGTTTTTTGAAACATTTTTGGGTGCATGTGTATTCATTATGATTGAAATTCAGCTTTGATGCCTTGATTTGGAAAAGAACCGTTAGGAATTTCGTTTAGCAATCGAGCTACTGTTTGTATTGAAATGTGACCAGTCGACTGTATCATGAGTGGAATGGGGATTTGGGCGCGCCTTTCCCCTCCAAAATCAAGGGGCGTTTTTAAAACAATTCATTATTCAATTAAAAGATCATTAACTTTAATCAAGATGTTAATTAACCATTGTGTAAAAATTCTTAATCTTAAACGGCTTAATTTGAAGACTGTTTTGTAACAGAAAAGCCATGTTTGGATAGTCTAGATCTCCAAATATTTTTTAGGTTGGTTGAATAAATATTTTATAGATCGAAGATTATGATTAAGATAGATGTACCGTAGTTAAAATACATTTTAAGATAAAAAAAATTCTGAATATAAATTTTTTATTTTTGCCCCCAAATTTTTGAATGCCCCAAATTTAGGTCATGAATGTTTTGGCTCAAATATTTTTATAACATCACATTTAGGTTGGGCAAGGACAATCATTATGAATTTTTGGATTTGAAAAAATCTAGTCAAAAACCATGACTAGAATTGACTCTTTCAGTACCTGTGGCGGTATGAAATTCCAATGATTTGAAATATATTTGATTTGGAAGAGGGGTATGTTTTTGCTCTATTTAAAGTTGTGTTTTTGGAGGGAACTGAGCTTTGACACTTTTCTAATTTTCCTCAAAAAATGGAAGCACAGTAGAGTTCAAATTTAAAATTGATATAAAAGAAGATTTGAAATTTATTATTTCTGTTTTTTAGAAATGGCTGATGTAACGGAGAAAATTTTATCAGCCAAACTCAGAGCTACTCTGACAGAGTCTGAAGATGACAGTGATAATGAAGTTAGGCATATCAGTGAAAGAATCCCCTTTAATAGAAACACAAATAATAACAATGTGGACCGAAGTGGTGATGTCAGCAATAAATTTAATGCTCGACCACTTAACAAAGATAAAGAAAACAGTCCAAAAATTCTACGCATAAAATCAAGACGTCATTTAGAACGTAATGATTCTTCGGACAACATTGTGGTTGATCGGCCAGTGACACCTGTGAAAGACTCTGACCAGCCTGAGATCCCACAAGCCCCTCTTACCCCTACCACAAATCTTAAAATGTTGTTCAGTGCTGTGAGTCCAGAAATTCGTAAAATGCAGGATCAGAAACGACAGGAAGAATCTTTATCAGAAACACCTCCCCCTGAATCAGAGGACAGTAAAGATGATATTATTTTCTCTTCTCAAGAAAGTGATTCTGGAAAACCAGGTGGTTCTCGGAAAGAAAAATCGTTAGGTCTTCTGTGTCAAAAGTAAGTAGACTACACTTTTATCAGTTGATTACACTACTGTTCCATTTAAGTCTAAGTATAATCATATACATGACTACCATATATGATTTTCTTCTTTGATATAAATTCATTTGATATTAACATAAAAACACATTTAAACATTACTCTAACCCTGTGCCAGTACCTTCTGTTGAATAGAGACTAGTTGCCTTGCTTGTCGATATTTACTGGTTTCTTTTCAACCACCCTAATCACTACTGGCAAGGAATGATGGGTGAACAAATTAATTCTCATGTAACAATTTGTAAAACTGGTTGGATGGCTGAAAAGTTAGTATTCAATTGAATGCATAGGTGCTGGGTTTAAAAGAACCCTTGAAAACGACTTTTGAAAAGTCCAGCCACGTCTATCTATGGGTGTAGCAAGCCACCAAAATGCATTTTAGGCCCTTAGTAGAGTGACATGGCTTGGTTGGATTATGCCTCGGTCCTTGCCACCCTCCAACAAGCCTTTTTTTTATGTCAATGTTTACGTTTGAATATTTCATTTCAGGTTTTTACAGCGTTATCCAGAATACCCCAAATGTCATTTAGAAGTTTGTTTAGATGAAGTGGCTAAAGATTTAAGTAAGTTCCATGTAAATTTATGAAATCATAAATGATTTGGCTGAACTATTTTTCTACACAACATTAGAATGAATCATTTGAAAAGAATTTAACCAATTTTTACAGTGCCCTTCAGATTAAAACTAGCCAAATGTGATATGACATTGATTATCACTATCATGCAAAATTTGGATATTTTAAATATTCATTGTACAAAAGCTCTTAACTTAGCAATCAAGGATAAGAATGTGCACATAAACCTAGACATCAATCATGTCACAAAACTTTTTCTTTTGTTTTTACTTTCAGAAACTGAAACCTAAGTTCTATTAAAATCTAAAAACTAATAATAAAAGCAGATACCAGTACCATGCTCATACATAATAAATCTATAAAAATATATCACTCTATTTCAGATGTAGAGCGAAGAAGAATCTATGATATAGTCAATGTTTTAGAAAGTGTAGAAATAGTCAGTCGTATTGCTAAAAATAAATATGCATGGCATGGAAAAACTAATTTAGTTACAACACTTACAAAATTAAAGGTAAGTTACAGTAGATTTATGTATTCCAGATTTATAGATAAGCACTCTTCTCTTAGGGTCCACTGGCAACCAAAAATGTGCTTTCTTTCATTATTGGAGGTTATTCAATAAAGTTGCATGTCTTGCATCCATTGAATATGTTGTTATTTCAATGTTCAATTTTGCTTCTCCATGAAACTTCAATTGAATGGCATTCATCTCGCAGTATTTCTTAAATTCGGGATAAACTTTCCTTGTTGTTCACTATATCCAAATAGCTTATGCTGCATGTTATGGTGTTGGTTGGCAGGAAAATCATGCAACATCAAATATATCCAGTATCTTGATCCAAGTCATAAGGTTCTATAGCACAGTTGGTTAGAGCGTTGGTTCTTAATATGACGTCATTTGCTTGGTTACGTAGAGCGAATTCCGGCTGTGGGTTCCGATCTAGATTGGCTTGTGAAAGTCTGATGACCTTGAATAAGTCATCTCTAATCATAATTCTAGTGGACCCAGCTGTAAATGGGTACGGATAATCTCGGAAAGATCTATGCCAAGAGGTTTGGCCAAGGACCAGCTGGTAGAAAGGATTCTTAACTGTGAACCTTTCTTTTTTTCAAAGTAGATCGACCTACTAAAGAGAAACATGGTAGTAATATAACTGTTTCAGACATGTTGATGAGACAGTGAGTGCTGTCATAAATTACGTTTCGTATTAAATGAAGTAACTATTGTAGTAATGAAATATTTTAGATGTTAGCTGAGAAGGAAGGGTTTGGAGATCAGATTGAGAAGGTAAAAGAACAGGAATGTTACAAAGAATTCAACTGTCATAAAGATATAGAACTTCTTGATAAAAGTAAGTTGAAATAAGTCTTCACTTTGCATTTATGTTTTCTTTGTGAGGAAGGTCAGTGCATTTATAAGACTCTGTTACTGTTTTCATCCCCATCTTTCTAGAATTATCACCAGGTTTTGGCTGAACAGAGATCAGAGCTGATTAGAAGTAGATATTTATTTCTAGCTCTATGGGTTCTCTTTAATGGGCTGTCCTTAGTTGAAAGGTGGCATAAAATGTTCTGTAAGGGTGAGCATGACCAGCCGAGCTACAGCTTGTGAAATTACGGAGAAAACTTATATTGGTTGTGACCTGCCAAGTCTTCCACACTTCTGTTCAATCAATTCATGTACAGGAAAAAAATTTGGTTTTCTGGCTTCGAACTGGTGAACTGGCATTATTTTTTATGAAAGGAAAAATTTTATCTCCTGATTCAATATTATATTTCTGTTTTCCAGCATTCATGCAGAAAGATAAATCTCTCGGAATCATGTCACAGAAATTTCTCATGTTGTTTCTTATTTCAAAGGTTTGTAATTTATAAATAACAAAAAGTCAGTTTTTAGCTAGCTTTAACTCTCTTACCATTCATTCATTTGTCTGCTCTTATAAAACAGTTTTCAGATAACATTTCATCTTGCATTCAGTTACTTGTTCAGTAGAAAACAACAAGTCAATGAAAAGCTTTAAAACCTTTTGCTTTATTGAATGTAGGGCTGGTAACGGGCTATGATAAAATTTTGATTACACTATAGCACAATATCATATATATCTTTCTGGATCAGTTATCAAAACTCTCAACCGTGGTTAAATCTGAAAAATGGATACTTTTGAAATGAGTAGTTACAATTGTTTTTTTTTTCATTAGGCAAATTAATGCCTAAGACTTAGTCCTCAATATTTCTTGACCAGGACAACTTTGAAGACAATAGATTCTTGATTATGTTTGATGAGTAAAGGGAAGTAAATATGAATTGTATCTCTCTATTGCAGCCTAAAACAGTAAATCTGGATATATCAGCTAAAATACTTATTGGTGATCCTACTGTAGCCAGAAATGAATCTTCTAAATTTAAAAGTAAGTATTAAGAATAACATGTTTCAGTGAAATTTTAAAAATGTAACAAATTATTGGAGATGATTTCTGTGTGTGAAGTTGTGAAATTATGAAGTGATAATGTGTGGCCATGCTAATGTTTTGATAATGCGAATTCATGTCAATACTGTTTTAAGATAATGTTTAAATTAACAAAATAAAGATCAATAAACTTCGATAAGTGAAAAGACGGTACCGGTACCAGTATTTTGTGGTTTTAATAATTTTCAAATCTACTCCTTTTGACATGCCAAAAGTGTTAGTCCTTTGGAAGTTCCTCTGGGAACCAGAATGTACACATTAAAGATCCAGTCTCATAAGCTAGAAATCGAAAGGACTAGGCTAATGTGGCTGTCCTGACAAAATTCCATCATTACACACTGCATGGTGTTGCCCATCTTTATGAGCCTAATAATCTGGTCAAAAAAACAAGTCTGTTTTATTTCATTTCTTTCTGTTACAGCCAAGATAAGAAGATTATATGATATAGCTAATATATTAACTAGTTTAAATCTGATCCGTAAAGTACATGTGACAGAGATACGAGGTCGGAAACCAGCGTTTAGATATATTGGTCCTGATGTAGATACAGATACTGACGTCAGTGGTGAGTAGGCTTGAATCTAAATTAGGAAAAGTTTTAATCATGAGAGGGCTTGACATGTGTGTTTGTCTATCTGAAAATAAGCTGTCGCTGGAGGGAAGTAGGAAATAGTCAATAAATAACTCGCCAACGTATATGTTTTTCATCGTTTATTTAATCTTCTATATTTAGACATAAATTCATGATCGACATAATTTTATTTGAGTTACGTCCCTTTTAGATAGTCTTGCTTGACCTGTCACCCAATTTTTGTGTATTGTGTATTAAATGCATTGGGTTCATCCCTGATATGGCGAAATGGCCTTTAACAAAGTGTCTTATCTATTTCAGTATGCTGTAGTGATGGTATACATAGACCAACCTCCAGGCATTCATTATTAGATTGTATTAGAAACAAAGAAAGTAAGTCAGATATTTCATACATCAAAAAATTAATATTTCATATTTTCTCTTTTCTTTAATCAAAAAGTAGGATTATATACAAAAAATAAATGATAGATTTATTAATCAAGGACCCCAGACTTCTTATATTTTTCTAGCCAGGGGCATCCAAAAATAAAACAAAGAATTTGTACCCCACATTGAAGCCTGAGGCCCCTTTTTCATTTCCTCTATTGTTTTTGTTCCATACTGGTATCCCTGAATATTATCAATAACACTTGGCACATAATATAGCAAAACAACATTTTTTCATGAGATAAACTATAGGATTTTTTATAATAAATGATATTTTTGTATTTACAGTAGCTAATTTAATGGCTCCCTCTAGATATATACCAATCAAACCAGCATTAGGTAAGTTAAGAAGTTTAATTTGAACTAAGCTCCTTGCATTTCGTGTCAGGGCAGAGCCATCTGATTACTGATTCATTAGAGGTGCGGCTAACAAAGGTATTGTGTCCATGGGCCTTATTCTTGAAAACTTAAGTAAGATCAAATCTAAATTTTATGTAATACAGTAAACTCAACTTGGAATTGAGTTTAGTAATCAGATGACTGGAACACTAAAATCATCTAAGTTAATTTTTTGAGAATAAAGCAACTGTTATTTAATGTGATCTCTTCTCTAAAATGTCGTTAAATGATTATAAGTATAAGTAAGCAATTCATCAATTATAGCAATTGATATCTCTTTATTACAGGAAAAAAATACAAATCGGAGATTTTACCTCCAGTACCCAAATCTGATGTGCCAAAACGATTCTCACGTCATGCATCATTTGATATGATATGTGAGGCTGCAGAGAAAGAGAGAAGTAAATTATATGGTCGTAGCTCTGAACCGTCCAGCCCTGTGAAAAAACTAGATTTTAACAGTGAGTGGCCATGTTTTTTTTTATTTGGTATAATTTGAAGGATTGTAAAGAGATTTTCTAGCTTTTTTATGTGCATTTGTGCCCTCTATTTGCATAATCAAATTTTTTCGTCAGATGTCTGTGGTTCTCCAGTAATAATAGCAATAAGATTTGAACGACATTTAGAAGTGTGTTTAACTTTGTATATCAGTATTTATTGTAAAAACTGAAACTATCTGTAAGAGATTCTCATTAATGATTCCTGCAGAATGAAATATCAAAGGTTTGGCCAGAGTTGAATGGGTCCTCCTTGTTTCTTGTTATAAACCTTAATTGTAAAAAGATCCTCTCTTTGAGGATCCACAACATGATGCAGAAAAGTAGGACGTAAAACTCCATTCATTTCATTTCATTTTTTTGAGGATCCACATGGTTATCTTACTTTATGTGTAGTTAATGGCTGAAATAAGCTACAAGATAGGAATGGAATAAGTTCTAAAATTGTCTTGGATTTGTTTTACAGATGTTGAAGATGATGAAATTCCAGAGAAAACTGTCAGTAAAGAACCATCAGTTGCTGATTCCGCGAGAAAGAAAATATTTGTCTACAATACAGGCCAGATTTCAGTCTGTCAATCACCATTGAAGAATACAACAGCAGCGAAAAAGCAAGAAAAAGTAGTGGTAAGGCCTACAACTGGGGTTCCTCAAGGTACCAGTCCAACTATTATACCCCTTACTCAACAGCAGATCAATGCTGTTCTCAAATCCCTGAATGTTCCGGTAACAAGACAGAAGACGTCTGCTACCCTAGTCGATGCATGTACTCAATCATCACCAAGTTTTCCAAAAATTCAAAATGAAATCACTGATGTTGAACATCGGTCTGCATCCCCAGAATTCAATATGGCGGTGCAGAATGAAACCACTCCCTCAACAACCACAGATTACATGAGAGGACTGAAAAGAGGATTGGATCGGCAAGATTCTAGCATGGAGAAAAGAATCAAAATGGCGTTACCAACTCCTCCTTCAACGGAAGAAGAACTAACGAGTTCCAGTGATGGATCCCCAGACGCAGAAGTTTCAGAAATAAATCAACGATTAACGAAAAGACGCACCACAATTGAAAATGGTAGACCTTCACCTTTAAGAGCTCTTCATCTGGCACCAGAATTCAAGAGTGCTGGGAATTTTAAGACGATTGCTCCACCAGAGTTGCCAGAAGATTCAGATCTGGCGACACCTCTTCCAGAAGACTTTGACGCCAAGAAGTTGATTCCGTTGATGAAACCCGGAGTGCAGCAACTGACAGTAAAGATGGCCAACCATCCACATCAGTTCATCCAAGTTCCAGTGATGCACATTCCTAAAACGGCTTTGACGGATATGGAACGCCAGCATGTCGTGAGTATGTCAAGGTCATCCTTGATCCAGAGTCTACCATTAAACTCGCTCAATGCCAACCAACCAATCAACTTCGCCGTACCAATGACCTTCAGTTCACCTTTGACCCCAGCGACCCCTGTGAACCCTACATCTAGTCCTTCTTTCTTTCCTCACGCCATCATCTCCACCAATTCTTCAGCTTTCAACATTTCACCGCCTCAACCTTCATTCACTCAAGCGTCTGCCATTCAAATGATAATTCCTGGTGCTCAACCAATGAAAATGGCTCCTACTCAATTCATCAGCCAATCAGCTTCTTCCAATACAGTATACCATAATATGGGTTGAGTGAAAAATTAATGTTTTTGTTAAGTTCAAACTGACTTTATGACCAAAGTTTCTACAATGTCTTGATTGTCTTGTGAGAGGTTGGTTTCATACCCCATGTTCCATGTGAAAGGCATCTGGAAATGAGGGCTGATTCTACCCATTTGTCAAGTGAAATACTAACAGACAGATTGATGCTTTGAAAGACCCTAAACTAAGCTGTGGTCTTAAAATTTATAACCTAAATGAAATACCAGATAGAGACCCTAAGCTTGAATTTGGAGAATATTAAGCTTGATCTTTGTTGCAACATAACTTATAGCAAGACACAGTGTTGAAACTGTAGTAAGCTTTGGTCAGAAGAAAGTAAACTAGTTTTTTTAAGAATTTTATTTTAGGCATAGCAGGGATAGATTCCCAAATGTTAAAAGTGCTTGTTTGTCAACAAGGATTTGTTTTTGTTTGTTGATGTTTATTGTGCTATATTTATGGTTTGTCTAATCATTAAGTGGAATGGTGGGTTGAGTCAAATTTGGTCAAAATTGTCTTCAAAATTCAATTGGTTCTTGAAATTTTGTTGGTTTCTTTGCAAGTGAGCAATATTTCATGGCAATTGGACTTTCTGAAAATTGATTTTAAGTTCAGTATTTTCACTTATCAATTTTCATGCAAGTATAAATTACATGTACCTTGAAATAGGGTAGAGTACAATGCAACGGAAAAAAAATATCCAAAAAATCAAGAAGCTTTTGGTTATAGGACTGTTTAGACTAAATTCACAACCATTTGACTATGTGTGTGCAGTAGCTAAAAGTGTCGTACAGAACAGTCCATTGTATATGAAGACTTCTAAAGGGTGAAATGCTCAGTAATGCCAGATTGCCAAATAAGAATGATATATTATGCTTAATTAGAATGAAAGAGAAAATGAAAAAAGCTCAATTTATATTCCCTTAACTTACATAATAATTTTGGGCAGCTTTAGTTATATTCATAATATCAACTTTTCTTATTTTCTCATACAATCTCCATTTATTCTGTTGAATTAAAATCTTAACTGTTGCATGCTATTAGGCTTACTATTTATAATCATTGTACATAGTCTTTCTGTGATTATTGATATCATTTGCCAAATTTTGATCCCTTCTTTAAGGGATTGTAAAAATGTTTTCTAAATTTTATATGTGTATTTGGTACACTGATAGCATCAATTTGTACCAACCAAATTTCAGATTAGTGACGTCATAAAACACTTAGTTGGTAAGTGAAATTGCAAGAACCACAGATGTCTGATTGAAAATTGGAATGGTGCAAATTGATGCTATTGGTGTCCCGTATAAACATAGAAAACCTCATTAAAATCCTTTTAATATCCTTGATAATAGGTCATTCCAATTTGATTTTTAGCTCTTAACTATAAAGAAATTGGGAGAGTGCTTACAATGTTAAATATGAAAGGGGAGTGAATTATAAAAAGTAACTAAAGTAAAAAATATTGACCTACTAAATATCAAATTGGCTTGGCCTTGGCCCTTTCTAGGGTCACTGGAACCCTGAATTTCATAAAATCAAACATTTTGAGTCTTGTCATCTTATTTAATTATAATGAAAATTATTTGAACAATATTTCACTGAGTGCCTCCATTAATATAAAGAAAAAATCTGCAAACTTGTCCACAATCCAAAAATTTGGTGGTAGAGTAATCTTTTCGATGATCAAACCAAATCATTTTTCATGTTTATCTGAACCACTAAGAATATTTTGAAAATTCACCTCAATTCTGTATATGATGTTTAAGGACTATATTAGAAATAGTTAGGACTGGGTTAAATGATCGAAATAATTGATTATCGTTGCTAGGAATTTATAATTTCGATCATAGATTATCAAATTCCATAATTGATTATATACGCTTTTTCCACTGTACCTGTTAAAAAGTAGTAATCTCTTGCCATTAGTTTCCTTTCAGCATATAACATATCCACAATATACTATAATAACATGTCAAAGCAAGAATATTCTTCTATGACGTAAAAATTACCCATGAAATTACGAATTTTTTTAATTTAATATTTACAGGATTTCTCAATTAAATTATTTTGATTATTCATCGATAATTGATCTCAATTTGCTAATCCATACCCAGCCCTAGAGACATGTATGTCAAATTACAAGATTCGTTTTGATGTATCTGTGGTCCAGTAAATTCGATATAAGAGAGACATTTAGTGAGATATTGTTACTAGTTGTTGTATTATTTATTTTGCCCCATCAAAGTTTAGTGTTTTGTATTTATATTAGTATTATTAAGTTTTTTGTTTAGTTTCTTCATTTGTTAGTTTGTAGAATGGACTGAAATTATGGTAGAAGCACACAAATTTTCAAAAAAATTGATCAAGTTAAAGAATTTCTATATGGTTCATAGCTTATTTAAAACTTTTAGAACAGTTGTAAAGATGTTCTCACACCATAGTAATTACCAGTTTCTTATGCTTGCAAATGATGAAAGTGGCTATGAGTTCTGAATACAGCCCACGACTCAGTTACACAAGAGAGATGCGTTTTGAAACTTATTCTTATTTGCAATACAACTGATGATCACTGTGGTCTGGGGAACCTTAAGTATTAAAATTAATCCCCTTGGAAAGTAATAGACTAAACTATATTGATTGACTGGTATCTATTGAATTATTAAGTCCCATGTGTCCCAAGTAATTACCAAATTGGTAAAGCTTGCTTTCCTCATGATCTTGTTTCAAGCAAAACTCAAAATTTCCTGATTCCAAACCTGGAATTTTATGTCCAAATTTTGCTGCCATTATAATTTTGTCCATGTATTTCACTGCCATTTTGTTCATAGTTTTATTCAACATTTTAGACATAAACTCCCTGCTTTTAGATAAAAAGCAGTTTTTTGTTTCATTATTTCATTTTATATATAGACATTGTTTTAATCATTCTAGTATAAAAGTTGGTTGGAATAATCTCTACTTTGTAAAGAGCAATGATAGGAAATATCCATAAGAATATTAACTAATTAATTTTTGAACTTGTAGAGTTTTGACACACGAAATATTGTATTTCTTTCATAATCACAAAAGTTTGCTCACAAAACATAAAATACTTGATTAAGAATTAAGTTAAGTTTTTTAACATTTGGAAGGCACCGAAAATATCTCCCTGTAAAAAAAGATAGAATTTAACGTTGGTATTACCTGTATTACTATATGATTTGCTCTAAGCATAATTTAGTGACCATTCTGATAAGTATTATACATCTTTTATAACATCTTCAATATGAATTCCAGCTTGTAATCATAATAAGAATTCTTATCATTTATATATAATAGGGCATACAAATTGTATAGAAAGCCAAGCTCAAAAGCTCAAAAAGACAAAAACTTTACTTAGAGAAATTACTTAAATTTACCAATGAATTCTTTAGACATAACTTCTCCTTGATATAATTTAGAGAATCCACATAGATTATTACTGTCCTTGGGTATTTACATTACAAATATTCCGATTTACAATACTTAAAATCACTTAGAATGATAATTATAAATAAGATTAGAGATTTCAAAAATGTATTTGCAATAATCATAATGCAATGAGTAACATCAAAATTTGTAAATAATACATAACATCTTCACAATGTCAAGCTTTTATTAACTATGCCTATACCTTGACATCATTGTAAACTTTACTTGTATGATAAAAGTTTGTAAAAGCAGTGATTTGATTGGATTGTACCATAGCAAGTACAGCCAATTGTATTAGGTCTTGATCGTAATAGCTTGAAACATTCAATATTCCTGAAAAGGATACCACCATTGTCATACTTTGTAATAATTTGTTGATTTTTTTTGTTAATTCTTATGGTTTTTTTTTTAGATATTATTTTTTATGCAGATTATTTTTATGACCAATAGAAGTATTATTGGGTGTTATTTTACTATGATCTTATTCTGTCCCTTGGTGACATCAATTGTAAATATTCGCTTAATGAATTGTATAGAGACAACACAAATATTAATATATAATGATCAGAATATATCGTTTTCTTTCTTCTGGGCTAAATCTTGGTAACTCTCCCATCAATGCCATTGAATCTGTTCAGCATGTCCTCTGTTAGACTAAGGGGCAAAGTGTCTAGTCTACCATGAAAGTTTCATCAAGCTTAAAACTGCAAATAATTGCACAATGGCTTACAGTTAAAGGAGCACCTTCACTATCTGTTCGACCAATCAAACCTTAGTTTCAGAAACATGTACATGTAGTTTAAATGGATTCTTTGATTCTGTTATTCCTCAGTATGGAAGATAAACTTTAAGTAGGGTGTATTGAAAAGCACTAAAAACGACTAAAAAAATAAGGCAAGGCGCTGGGTGATCTTTTCGCAGTTGTACAAGAGTTGGGTTTGGGTCATTACTTTTAAAGATGCAGAAAAGAATCTCGCGACACATCTTCACAATTTCAAGCTACTACGAGTTATACAGGCAATAGCTTGACACTGTGGAGATACCTACAACTTAAAAGTTTCTCTTCCAACTTCCTCGAATTTACAAAGAATTTTGAATTGAATTGAATGGAGCTTTACGTCCTACTTTTCTGCACCATGTGGGCTAATAAAGACAGGCAACGCCATGCAGAGTGCAATGAGGGAAATTTTGCCAGGACAGTGGCATTAGCCTGCTCTTTTTCGATTTCCAACTGGGATCTTTAACGTGCAAAACCTGTGTGGCACACGGGGCCTCGGTTTATTGTCCCATCTGAACGACTAGACGCTTTTTCCATGTCAGCCCCTCTTACTTGCGTCACTGACAGGGGGAAACCAGGTTGAAAAATCCGAAGGTATTATCTCAACCTATGCCGGGGTTGAACCGCGGCTCAAAAAGAATTTTGAGGTAACCCTCTCAAATTGAAATAGAAAGGTTACATTTTTATTAGAGGGCAATACGAACCAATTCAAATACAAAAGGGATAATCCTCCCCTGGGGCCTCATACTCTTATCTGCTCGTGTTGAGGGATTAAGTAGGGTCAACCCCCTAATATTGTTTGGTAATAATACTTGAAGTTGTGTGTTTATTGAAATGTACAAGTATATGACGACATGTTACACAATCTTCTGTTTGAATTATAAGAAGTATGGGACAAGGAAATGTTGTATTTTTGTATACAACTATAATTTTGGACGTAAAACTTTTGAAATCAAAAGGCGAGTTAAAACATTATCGCTTCCATACCTATACCTAAAATTCAACATTCAAGAATTATGGCAATTGTAGTGAAAGTGGTTATAGGTGTTTAATGTAGGTAGGCCGAAATTGAATCATAGGTTTCGGGGTGGTCGTTGTGGCCAAAGAATTGTCCAAGGGGGTTTACAACAACTAACATTTAAGAACCCCCCTCCCCCTCTTCTTCGTATAGTCGCCACTGAATCTGACAGGATTGTTACTTTTGAAAAGTAAGTCTATAACCGAATATTATATACTATTGCGTTCAACTGTTGTTCCAACTATCAGTCTACAAGTGTCACAATTTACTATCATCAACTTTACGACCAAATGTTATCTGTGCGATACAAATCTCCATAATGCGATAAAGTTCGTAACAGTTACGTTTGATAAACTTCGCCGCATCCTTTTGAAGTTTGAATTACGTAGTAAATGACGTAATCGCCGAATTCCCGCCCTTTTATCTTATTAACCCTCTTAACAATAATGAAGTGACGATAAACTGTGAAAATTTAACCCCACAAAGAAATTTACATTTTATGTCTTTATTTCAATTGATTAACAACATTTTGATAAAGTTTTAAAGATTATTGTAAGCAGATTATAAATCATTAAGACCTTTTGAAAATTTGAATTTCGCGGTTGAAACGTTTATTGCCCCCCTTCTGCTTAAATATAAAATTAAAGGGTTTTTATGCGAAAATGGGTGATGGAACAAGTTACCTGATATATTTTCTAAATGATAGAATAGTGCATATTATACAACGGGATTTTATAATTTAGGTTATATTAGTATTTAAACCTACTTCTAGAAGTGTGTAAATTGTATCTTTTTGGAAAAGATTCATCGACTTGCTAAGAGTATGTATAAAGAAAAGTTATGATCTATTTTACGATCTTATCATAATCGCAAATTCCGTGTGTATAAAATTAAATAGGTCCTTGATATAGGTCTGCATAACTAAGTAATTTGTTTTTTTAACATTTTCACCCGGCCTGGATCTATAGGTTAATAGTGAAAGACGCGGTATTATCGATCCGAGCGCAACACATGTTAGAAAATGTGTTATATTTCACCAAAATTACACCCTGTCATTAAAAATAAAAGTAATTGTGGCGTTTGAATGAAAATAAAAATCGTAGATTTGTAACAGTTTGAGATCAAAAAGCCGAAATGGCCGCCATTTTATTTCAAAGCACACCACGTGTTGCAAAATAAACATTATAATCAAATTAATTTCTTTTTAATAGGATTAAATGTTGGTCCGGAATCTGGATAATTAAAATATTCACGTCACGTCACCAAAATAATACGATCATTGACTCAAGAAAATATAATGACGCAATGATGTTTAAGATGATTACATTTCCCGCCACTATTTATCAAACTTATTAAATTTCCCGCTATTTTATCTGATAGACCATCTGCGATACCGGGTGTGACGTCATGCTGGTTTCCCCAGAGAGTTAAGATAATTCGTCTGTGATCTCTCATTATAAAACCATAGGACGAATTAAATGGCGGTTAAAGTGTTAATTTTCAATTGGTAGGCGGAAAGTTTCAGTTTTCAAATACGAATTTGTTGTTATGCATTTATTCCTTACATGCTACGTCATATTAACTGAATTGTTATTTTAAATCTGCAAAATGTAGATTTAACTTTTTAGATGCTCTAATCTAAAGTAACATCAGCAAGATAACGCGCCACATATAGACATAGACTAAATGTTTTTGTACAGCCATGTATTGTAGGCTAGGCCTAATTTATTTTTGCAAAGCCCACAGAAATGTGCAGCACGTTTGTGATCACAGTCTGTTACCAACACAGGGGGAAATTGACAAATGTTCAAGTATGGTCAAGGTACCATATTGGTCAGTTGACCCCAAATGACCTTTGATCAGGAATAAACCCTCGAGAAATATAAAGCAGACTTCAAAACCACATTTTATTACGTCATTGACACTGACATGTTACGTAACAGCCCTGACGTCACAACAACTACTGTTGTTTAACCCCTTGAGGCCAAAATAACGGCTGTTTCAGAAATTTATTAACCATGGTTAATTTAACATGACCCTTTTAACACAGACAATTATCCTTTCAAATCACCAATTTGAATTTAGACACTTTTTATTTGACTTTAATTTGAATTAAACTTTTTCATAGTCATTGAAAACACGGCTTCATAAATGGCTTGGAAACAAGTGACAGACGTTTAACTTTAGTGAAACCAAATTATTTTTTCAGTATATTCACAATTGATTCTTTTGACCCAAAAATTACTTTTTTCGCAACACACATTAAATACCACAGTACAAACTTCACAAAATAAATATGACACCACAGACGTCACAAATTTAATATCATATCATGGTGGTCAGAAATAAAATATCATACTAATGACGTATCAATTTCATATAATCACGAAGAAATAAATATCATATTAACGACGTATCATACCAAAAAATTACAGAAATCACAAACAAAATATGATACCACGGACATAACATAAATACCACCGTATCATTAACATTAATTCTGTGTTACTGAGATTATCGGGTTTCCAGTGTGTTTTTGTCGCCTTTCTGTTGGGGCAACACAATTTTTCTCTCAGATTTGTTGAAATGGAATATGGGAGATAACTCTATACTGGAGAAAATCAGACTACAATGGATATATAGGGTTTTTCTGTGACATCTACTTTAATGGTAGAATGTTACAATTCGCGGTGTATCAAAAACAGAAAACAATTTTCTTCCGTGCAATTTTTTAGGCTATGAACAAAATGAATCGCTATTTTAAATGTCATAACTAAGGCAACTATTTCGACTATTTATTCGATTTTTTATCTGGGCATCACATGGAGTTCGCAAACTAAAGACCCAGATCTGTCATGTAACAACATTTCTTGAGAAAATATTTATTTGGAACAAAAAAAAAGTTACACCATATAATAATTATGAATAACAGGAAGCCTCAAGAAAAAGGCATATATAATAAATAGGGGTGTATTTTACAGAGCCTGTAAACGTCTCAAAATCAAAATAATTTTATTCCAAGCCCATTCAAAATATCCACCTACAGGCCAGTTTCAACCTACTCGATCAATCGAGGCTGTGTCAAAATTCTAAAACTCCATATGATTGAATAATTAGCTGTCCTGTATCGTTCGAGATGCTCTTAAAACATGAAAATATTCTAGACATAATATTGGTAAATGTTAAGATATAATGCCCGATCAAAACAAGGATTATCCAGTCTGTCTTCAACAATATTTACATCGTATCGTTATTTATGTACAATACTTCCAATAATTCAAAGTAGGTCAAGTATTTGTATGCACATGCAAAGACAGACAATCGTAAATATAGATATTGCAGAAATATGTGATTTCATATTGTATTGCTAAATGATAAACTGTTATTGTTTATCCCGGCATGTGCATATTTATCTATGACCTGCTATACAGGAATATACAGTGGTTGCTTATAATACAAATAATACCCGATACCTGAAATGCACGTACATTGATGCCTGGACCGCGGGTAGGCCTAACAATCCTTTTCAAACTTAGTCACCTGACCAACATACGCCTAGGCAATATCCATCAAAATTCATTGGGTGAGAAGTTCAAATAATTGAATTTTTCTGGAAGGTCAACGGTTTGGAATTTTTAAGCCTAAAACATTCCTGATAGTTTTCCTAAAATGACCCATTTGATGTGAGGAAAGTTCCCGCCACATGCTAAACACTCTGCCATTGGTTGCTAGGTCTTGTAAGATGTCGTGTGATTGGACGAATCTTAATGACGTATTGTACAGTGAATGAGCTGTTAGTTTCTTGGAATTTTCATCGTTTGCCACCAATACTATTACTTGAGCTGAAAAGAAAAAAATTATCCAGATATTATGTGTTTTAAAATGGCCGTTCACTCGGAATAGACATGTTTTGAACACAATTTAGCCACAATCCCTTTAAAGATGCTAATACTTATATGAATATAAAGTAGAAGTTTTTACCAGTTTTTCTCACTTGTCAATAATTTTTTCATAATAAGCTAAATTAGAAGAGAATTTCCAGCAGAATTCCAATGAGTGACTGATCAAGAAAGGTCAAAAATCTTTTTTTGTTTATCCAGACTGTAGCCTAATACATGGACATTTATGATTGGTTAAAACTCTTAATTACACACAATATAAGAAAATAATGATATTATTAAAAATTTACGATAATTCATTCGGAGCACCAATTAATCAAATAGTTTGCTTAATTTGATACTAAAAAATAAGGAAACCCATCTTTAATGCATAAGTACTGTGTTATATATGTGTATATATATGTCGATTGAACATTAAGCATACGATAAAGAAAATATTCTATAGGAACAAGAAATAAATTGAGTGAAGAATTCGCGATCAATCAAGACATGTACAGATCAACCACAGCCTGGCTGTTAATACAGAGAATCAAAACACGCAAATTAAATATCTATAATTTAAAAGTTATTGAAATATTAGTTTCGTTTCCTGAATAATTCAATCTTCTTCAGACGATTTTATCGACGACCGTATTTGACTTTTTGGCAAGTTGCCTATGATTTGATAATTCATCAGAATGAAACGGAAGATCTCCATTAATCTTGGAGAATATTTGGACGATTTTCAATCGAAATATATACCGAACTCTACATAAGTTTGGTTTCAGACTTAAAGAAGGAGGAGTGAGTTGACTAGGGTATCATTCAAACTGAAGACTACGGTATTCTCCCTACACATAATTCTTTAGAAAATACTTCAAACTAGGAATTTTACTCACTATTTCTATATAATATGTCTTTTCTATATAGGCCTATCACAGAATTTCTTTAACATTCAAATGTGGATAATTCTCGACACACATGGATTTGAAGGCTCAAATTTCAACGGTGAGCTGTGAACACCATTACTGATTAGCTCAGCTAAAAAAATTCTGGGAGTAATGTATGATTGGTCAAATAATGGTCAAGGCCTATCCGTCCCTTTAACGTCTTCTTCGAGCTAACTAATATCGCAGATTAACAAGTTAATGTTCGCTTTCAGTTAAAGCTGATATCCAGACCCGTAGCTACAGGGAACAAATCTGACCAATTCCATTATTGCAACTAAACGAAATTACACTATAGTCACTCTAGATATATTATTTGCCCCTCCGAACAATCAAGTCTGGCTAAGGGTTACCGATGATGTACTCACTGTGTTTTGAGATATAGGTAATATGACAGACAGACACCCATGAATATATCAATATGATGCGATGTTTGAGTAATAATATCATTACTTTATTGACATAAACTCTGATCAGTACTAATGGAACACTGTCTACCTTGTTATCTTATTTTCTCAAATAAATCTACAGGGAGGGGCACGGAAGATTATATAATTTAATGTCATTATTTTGTCACAGGACAAGTCTTCTTTTTCTCACAAATCTATAGGGACGGACAAGGTGGAAAAGTGAAAATAATGCCATTATTGTCACGAGGGTATAGTCTTATTATTGGTTTAAAAAGTCCATAATTCTTAAGTTCACCTACGTCACTTTTCAGAAATCAGATTGTCGAATTTTTCATACGTTTGATAGAGCTTGAAGCCAAATTAATTCTCTTCTAATTTAGCTAATTATGAATTAATTATGGACATGTGAGACAAACTAGTATTTTTCCAAGTCATTAGAACACATCTACTTTCTATTCATATAAGTATTACCATTTACATTTTCATAAATGGAAATAAGGGAACCCATCTTTAAGAGCATAAATGTTTAGGATGAACAAAATACCAACCTCCCAAGGATTTGACAAAACGAATTGTAGAAATCTGCATATCACTGTTGGTTTGTCGACAAAAACCAAAAGTTGATTTTTCTTCTAATTCTGTTACCACCAGATATAGTTTTGCACGTGGTAACTGACGTAACATCTCGTGTTTTTCTATGACGTAATGAGATGGAACTGTTAATTTGACGTCCTCAAGATTTTTCAACGTGACGTCAATAAAAGTTGATATGATATTATTATTATCTTTTTTAAAAACAATCACACAAAGTTCATTTTTTAAAGTTAATCCATGTTTCGGTGAATAATTTACCCCATTACCATTCTGAAATAAAATGAGATCACATTGTAGTATTCGCGTGCATGGGGTGTTTTAGGGTTTAAAGCCACAGTGGATAGTGGGAAAGAACGTTTGGATTTTGCCACAAGACATTTGAAATTTCGAAATTTCAGCTGACTCAATTCATACAATGTTGTTGCAATTCAAAAGCCCTAATAAGTTGGGTATGAATGTCATACATACCTTCATTTTATCTGAATCTTTCTCTGATTTCTCGTCTTTTTTCTCGACCTTCCTGTCTGCTAGCTTAGACTGTAATAACTGAACCTGGGGTTTGACTCGAACTATAACCTCTATTATTATTAGCACTATGACTAGGAAACCCAGAGACTCTAAAATATATCAGATATATACATTGATTTGTAAACAAACAACAGTATTTTACTACCGTCATCAGAATTTAGAACACCGACCATCGTTAGACACAACCAAACAAATGACGTAAAATTCCAAAAACTCTAACTCAGGGCTGTACCCAGGGTCTATTTTCTATGAGGCAAAATTCCTGTTTTTTTTAAACAAATTGTTTTTTTTTTTTGTCTTTTTTTTTTTGTCTAATTCGGCTTGAGGCATTTGCCTTATTTGCCTTGATATAGTTACGGCCCTTTACCTGATTCTGCCCTTGAATAAAATTAGTGAATAGAACTTTTGGTATAATATCAATACAATTGGCAGGCAATGATCTAGTCCGAGAAACTGTCAACATCCACAGACTCCAATAGATGATTTTCAGAGTTAGTCTGTCTGTATAGGGTATAAGTTGCTCGGATAAGAGCAGGGCAATTATTCCAGTTAAGAACAGATTTGAAAATAGAACAGAACTATATATTAATTTATAGCAGAAGTACAAAGTATTCTAGACATTAGGCTAGTAAGCTATTAACCTAGAGCTATTATCTTGAGACTCTTCTAAGATAAAAATAATAGAAAATATGAATACACTACATTTACAGTATGTCTTTATCTGAAGTATATGAATTTTTCTATAGAAAGGAAAGAATTCACGCTCAGCCAGTACAGAAAAGAAGATAAAATCCAAGGCCATTTGAGAGATACATCACGTCCGAGGAACTGGGAATATTCAGATTTGTCGGGATACTTTGAGACTTGTTAGATCAAATATAACAATCAACATTCTATCGAAATTTGCTCTACATTAGTCTTATATCAACAGTGATAAAATACAGATGTAAATATATTCAGATTATGTTCGTCTGGAACTGAAAGAAATGATAACATACCATCAGAGTATAATCTAGACGAAATCTCATCCAGTCTTCTTTCTAGCAGACGATATTTCATATTCATGTTATCCAGACGTTCATGGAAGGCGGCCAATTTCTTGTCCAAGAGAAGATTCACGTAGCTTTGATTGCTGACCTCTCTTTCTATGGAAAGTCTGGCCACAACTTGATCCTTGAACGCCATTTCTAATAACTGCAGTCTGTTCGCCATGTCTGAAAATACCAGTTTCCATGGACACAAATCGTCATTATGACCAGCATTACACGATGGTTCTTTACCTTCGATCCTTACTTCTGGAAAGTTGTCAGGAGAAGTTAACGTCCATTTCAGAGAAACAAGCATCACCACTCCAGATAGTATCGCACTGGAATAGAAAATTGAAAATATTACTATTGACTGGTCGACAAGCGAAGTATGAAACTAGATTCATTTGAAAGTGCAGCCTATACTGTAATATGGTGACTTCGGAAATTTCAAATTTCCTCATAATTCCAGTCGACCAAAGTTTATGGTTGCTCATAATCCGGAATAAATCGTTGTAGCCTATAGAGAGTTGATCAAGGTCCACCTACAAGTAGCTTAACGAACCTATTTTTTTGATACTATAATGACTATTCAAACAGACAACTGAAAACTTTACACACTACACGTCGAATTCTGACAGACAAAGAGATCCTTAAGATCTTTTACAGCAATCTGTGTTGATGCAATGCATTTTTTCAATTTACATTGCTACAATATCATTTCCGGATCTCTCTTTTCAGAATAATGCATCTCAGTGTGCTAACAATTTTTGAAAATAGGTTACCAAAGTGAATTGCCCACTAAGGAATGTTTGAAGATCTATTCACAATAATTTATAGGATTTATATTATGATTTTTACGTGGTCTTATTGTAGAGGTTCTGCTGTAAGTCGACGTCTTATTCTAAAGGTTATAAAATGTAAAGGAGATTTTCGTTGTATTGATTTACGATTTTCACTTCGGGTTAATAATTATATTGTCATGTAGATGTTTCATCTTTCTTTTGATGACTTTTTGAGTGGATAACGAGATTTTGATAATCAGTATTTTCTTTAGGCTCAATCGATCAGCCCGGAAATTCGTTTATCGATCGATTGTAGTTTGAGTCATGGTATTCAAGTCTAGTTTTTTATACGAAACTAAACCAGAAACACTAGCTCTGCATATCTCTAGCAACCAACAATGGCGGACACGCTTTTATTTCGATTTCTCAAATCTCAACCGAAACATCTGAAATTAAACAATCAAAAACTGGAAAAAATACCTAAACTGATTGGTAAGCTTGAAGGTATTCGACATCTTGATTTGAAAAACAACAAATTAAAAGATTTGCCTGAAGAAGTCAGTCAACTTTTCGAGTTGGAAATCTTGAATTTGGGAAACAACGAATTCGAAGAAATTCCAGAATGTGTTCTGTTCTTGACCAGTTTGACGAAAATTCATCTGTTTGGAAACAAAATTTATTCCATCAACCCATCATTCTTCGACAGTCTAGAAAACCTGACATTTCTGAATTTAAATGGAAATGAACTGACGCAAGTGCCTCCTGAAATTTGTCGACTGGGTAATCTGCAATTTTTAAGTATTGACAACAACAAAATTGAAGAGTTACCAGTAGAGTTTTGTGCATTGACCCACTTAATAGAAGTACATTTAGCAGGGAATCGAATACACAGTCTTCCTCTGGAATTTGGTTTTTTAAACAACTTAGAACGTCTTTATTTACTAAAGAACAAAATCAGGGAGTTACCAGAGAGTATTGGGAAATGTTACAAATTACGAATATTAGACATTGCAGCTAACGAACTTAGAATTTTTCCAACCGAAATTGCAAATCTACCTTTAAAAGAGTTACATTGTGAGGAAAATCCATTGTTACAACATGTCCCAGTTCATTCAGTACAGGAGGAAGAAGTGTTAGCTTTAAAAGAAATAACGGCTCGCTTCGTGATGAAGGAATTAAAAGACAGGTGGTCCTATTTACGGAAACGTATCCGCCATTATCCCGATATTAGGGACATGTTATCACAATCTAGTAAATGTGCTCTGTGTGGTGAATCATTTTTAAATACGTGGCTCGAGTGTGTTCAGTTCATTAGCACCAAACAGAATATAAAAGTGAAAAATATGTCCGGTTTAGTACCGGTTCGAGCTTTGTTATGTTCCTATAAATGTTTTAATAGTCCTGGACATGATTATTATGGTGTGGCATTTCCTTAACTATTTGTACTATTTATAAACACAAACAAACCTTAGATCAGGTTGACACTGACATAACTTATTATTGCATTTAAATGTGGGTCATTTTTACTCAAAAATTTCCTGTGATGGAAATTCTTTGGCAAAATTTTAATAGATCACCATGTAACAACTAATCATTTAGTTTCATTTGACTTCAACTCCAATAAATATCTCAATTTAAGAGTCAAGCTTTCTGTTGGTTACATGACTTGTGGGTGATCAATTTTCTAACTATTGACCTGCAAACCGTGCTAAGTTGATAAATCCTAGTTTGGCTGCATCAGGTCATCTGAAAGGATTAGCAATCCTTGTATGTGTGTCATGAATATTAGATGACATCAACAACAGTTGATGACAATTAACAATGTATTGAGTTAAAAAAACAAAAAAATTTCACATCGCCCTATACACTTTTTTTCATTTTGTTGTCTACTTTCGATCCAGTGTTATCTGAAAAAGTCTTTTGTCCTTGTGTTAAATTTGTACTTTTTCATAAAACTAGTGTCAACTATATAATGCTACTGTAAAACATTTGTTAATAATCTTTATCTGTGATACTGAAATATTTTTTGAAGATATATTTTTTGAATGTTGTTATATTGTATCTGAACTGAATTATAGTTTTGTTGTCTGTTTCATTAGTTTTTTGTTTTTTTTTTATTGAATCCACTGTCTTTACAAAATTTCCCTTACTCTACACTTCATAATGTTGCTCAATTCATTAACACAATCAAGTGCAGAAAAGTAAAACTCGATTCCATCTCCTACGGCACGGTTGTCCTGGCAACCCACTGACAAGTATGATTATTATCTTGATAAGAGTACAGAATATATCAGTAAGGTTAATAAGATAGGACAAAATTTAGATATATATCAGTATAAGCCCAACAGGATTTCAAATCAGGGAATAACGTACCGTATATTTGCTTGTAAACTGCTCCCCCCTCTTTCCAAGCAAGCTGAATGAGGACACAGAATTGATGTTAAATTAATTTTCGTTTGACTATTTGAAATTTACCCTTAATTTATTTCAGTTTATCCATGAGGCACATTTGAGTTTTGAATGAAAGTTAAGCAAAAACTTTGCAGAATTATATCTACATATACTGCAAAAATTCGTCTCGACCTGTCGGAATAGTCGATAGATTACACACGCCGTTAATTATGATTTGAACTTGGAAACCTCCGATATTTATTGTTCTTCTTGTCCGGAACTGGTATTGATTTAATCTCAAGGATATATACGAGAGGTTTTATCACGAGTAATTATAATAGCTTATTAGGCAGACTCAACTAATTGCACGTATCACTACTTAGAAAAGGATTCATTGAATCGAGTCTGACAGCTATGTCGAAGTTTGTAAACTTAATTTTAAGACCTTAATGTTGGCAGAATAATGTATTATTCTCAATTGCCTAGCAGATTGTGCTTAGAACGGTGACAGTATTGAGTGTTTGTGGTCAGAATGGGAGAAGAGCAAAACAACTACTTGCAGATTTCTTTGGTTAGAATAAAACCTGCGCATAACAAAATATCGTGTGCCAATAGCTGACAGATTTCTCAGCACATTGGCAGTTTTCTGTGGTCCGATTGTATCCTTTGCCTTTAACCAGCAATCATAAGTTACGATAATACTCCGCGAGAGAGGCCCGGGGTATTGTCATAACGAAACACAATGATTCAACTATGAAGTTATTTTCATAGCTGTCGTTGCATCTGCCGGAACTTGGCGTGAAATAACCACCCGAGATCAGATATAATAATCAGCTAGGTTTGCACCAGACTTAAACTCTTATTAAACATATTTATGGAATTTGTAACGGATAAAGAAACAAAATTTGATCGAAAAAAAAAACATCTTAAATCTGCCAGGAAATCTTAGAAAAACTTTGTGAATTTTACTGATAAAGTAGGAAATCATTGGCTCTTCAAATTTGACAAGATCTCTCAAAGATAATTGGATAAGATTTTCTGTGAAAAGCAAGCAAGATCCATAATTCAAACTGAGATATATCGAATAACTGTCATTGTATTTTTATGCTATTCAAATAAAAGTATTATTCTGCTCTTATTATACAAATGCGTTGAAGGGCAATAGGCCTACCGAGTATAACAAACAACATTTCTTAAGCTGGGCAGTAGGACGTAAAACTCCATTCCAATTCATTAGCCCATTTTAGTAACATCAATAGTAAGATATAGGAGATATGTGAGAGCACAAGAGAAGTCTTGATCTTAAATAAAATCTCGCGTGTACCCGCGCGTCCACGACAAGAATATATATTTGCTGACAGGATTTATCATATCAAATATGTTTTGATATACTTCTCCGATTATTTTATTGTCTTCAAGACAGGGCATTATCATCGTATCAGATTCATATATGTATGATACGCACATGATTATGGACATAGTGAAAAACGACCGACTGGAGATTTTTGTCTCCTGACGTGTCCACAGACACCGTTCACGTGCCAGTACCTCAAGTCTACATTTAAGAGACTCACTGAGGTGACGTATAAATAGGACATTAAGAAGCAACTCTAGAACAAAATATCCCTCTGTAAAGGAGTCACCAATCCTACGTGATTAAAGAACCATGTAAAAAACAGAAAACGGCTACATACTTTAATTTCGTTAAGGTGGTCGTAAGTCTATTACAATTTCTGATTCCTTGAAGCATTGAGAATTAATTTTCTGGTTGAAGCTAAATCAGATTATCCCCCTTTCCTTGATAGGATTAGTTGACTCTGCGATTAGCCACGTGTGCCTCCGGTATAATTCTTAACTTATTAACATCGTATCTCATACTTCAGAACCTATGACCACAATTTGTTCGAGCTAATCATGCACATGGCGTCAATGCCCTAACAACCCATCCCACTGCGCAACAGATCGTCCTCAAAGACCATTTCCAAGAGACCAAGGACAAGCTAGCAGACGGTACATTGTAAACACATGTTGTATATAAAAGAATGCCCCAAACCAATTCTAGAATCAGCAGCCATTTTAAGTCTATCACGTATTTTCTCCAATAATTATGTCTGCTAATTACCACTGGTCTAACTGGTAGAGTCGTATTAGCCTAAATGGTTTAAGGCATAATTTCACCAGACTTTCATCTGCTGACTAAAATTTAAACTTTTTCATTTTTTCAGAGTCAGAAGACGAACAGCATCGCAGTATCTGAGACAGCGATATTTCTTTTTTCGGAAAAACATAATCAAAATAAGCCTATCACTTATTAAGTTCGTTCAGTAGGATTTGACTGATATGGTTTGAGGCGCAGTCTCAGAACTAATTCGAGTACACTTATGGTTCCTTCATCTCGCCAAGATCTTGAAGGTTATCAAATTATCTCCCTTAGATACAGAAACTTTCATGAAACCTAAGCTGGCAACTGCAGTACAGAATAATAGGTCTACCATAACAACTAGGAGATCTGGGGTTAAACAACTACGATGAGATGCAAAAGATCTTTCATGGAACTTGGAGACTGTATTTACATGTATCTGATTTTTTCTTCTCGGTAAACTGTTAAAAGAATGTAATTTATTAGCTCGGTTATGGAAAAATTTTAATTTTGAATTTGTTCTTAGTTCACTAAGATATTCAATGTCGCAATTAAGTATAATCCACTTGGAACCACATATCAATATTGAGAACACATTGTGGTATACATTGTTGATTAAATCTTCCATTCTCAACTCTATGTGGATTTTAGTGAATATCGAGATTTAATTTGGAGGAAGTAAGCCTTGTTTTATGAAATTTTTACAAAACTTTCATCTCTAGTCGTATATTCACCTCATCCTTATATTACGACTATAATACATGTATTAATATTTAAAAATATACTCTGTAAATAGGCCATACTGCCACTTTAAAAATTGACTTGTAATTTAGAGAAACGCATTCTTTATCCAGTGATTTAATTAAATTTTTGAATTAGCCTAAAAAGTCATAAAACTGTCCGGGTATCGCGAGGAATTTCTGAGTTATTTGTGTTTTAATCTCTTGTAAAACCAGTGGAATTAGCTATAAAACTTGGGAGATACTCCAATATAAAGAAAAAGTTTTTTTCAGGTTTTGTCTTTGTAACTTAAACCAGTGAAGGGATTAAGTCATGTATCATTCTTAGGCAATCGATTATTTTAAGAAAATGTATGTTTTCTCCATGAGAACGTGTTTACAAGAGAAATAAGGATCATGGATGATAACCTAATTGGTATAATATCATATATACATACATGTAAAATATTAAATCGATGTAATTCCACGCCATTGCATATTGCCCAGATACCAACCACAACATTAAAACCGATCACAGAAAACTGTCATTTCGTGAAGCAATCTTCTAGCTAGTTACACAATAATTTTGTGACACAATCTGATTTGAACTCATTAGAATTTCAATTTAAGGCAGTGGGAAAATAGAAATAATTTTAGATTGGTTAATGATGGATAATCTGATTTTGGAAGTTAGCTATTATTTATTCCATGGCCATAAACCAAGCGATACCTGAGCACGACTTTCTTTCTTTTGAATTTCCTACGATGACTTTTCATATTAATGCTTCTTATTTTCTTATAGATACATGAAAAGATTTTGTTTCACAATACAGGTTTTATTATTGATATATCAGAAGAATGTTGACTCTTATATTTTCAGCTATTTCTGTTAAAGAAATGATACTACTACAGATAGTATTACAGAGACATCCTTAGTTAACATATCTAATTATCTTAACCTTTGATACTACCACAGATAGTATTACAGAGACATCCTTAGTTAACATATCTAATTATCTTAACCTTTGATACTACCACAGATAGTATTACAGAGACATCCTTAATTAACATATCTAATTATCTTAACCTTTGATACTACCACAGATAGTATTACAGAGACATCCTTAGTTAACATATCTAATTATCTTAACCTTTGATACTACCACAGATAGTATTACAGAGACATCCTTAGTTAACATATCTAATTATCTTAACCTTTGATACTACCACAGATAGTATTACAGAGACATCCTTAGTTAACATATCTAATTATCTTAACCTTTGATACTACCACAGATAGTATTACAGAGACATCCTTAGTTAACATATCTAATTATCTTAACCTTTGATACTACCACAGATAGTATTACAGAGACATCCTTAGTTAACATATCTAATTATCTTAACCTTAGATACTACCACAGATAGTATTACAGAGACATCCTTAGTTAACATATCTAATTATCTTAATCTTTGATACTACCACAGATAGTATTACAGAGACATCCTTAGTTAACATATCTAATTATCTTAACCTTTGATACTACCACAGATAGTATTACAGAGACATCCTTAGTTAACATATCTAATTATCTTAATCTTTGATACTACCACAGATAGTATTACAGAGACATCCTTAGTTAACATATCTAATTATCTTAACCTTTGATACTACCACAGATAGTGTTACAGAGACATCCTTAGTTAACATATCTAATTATCTTAACCTTTGATACTACCACAGATAGTATTACATAGACATGCTTAGTTAACATATCTAATTATCTTAACCTTTGATACTACCACAGATAGTATTACAGAGACATCCTTAGTTAACATATCTA